GTTGGTCTTTGTAAGCTTCCCAGTCCTCTGGTTTCGTCAACCATGGTTGCCTCATCCTCCCTGTACTATGCTTCTTTTTCTTATGGATGAATTTTTGCTGCGTCTCCTGACTTACTCCCAGAAACTCCTGCCATCGCTGTTCCACTGTCTTTCCTGCTAGGCTCCTCTTCCAGTCAATTCTGTCCAGTTCCGCTCTCATACCTCTGTAGTCGCCTTTATTCAGCTGTAATACCGTTACCTCTGATTCTATCTTCTCCCTCTCAAATTGCACAGTAAATTCTATCATATTATGATCACTGCCTCCTAAGGGTTCCTTCACCTTAAGCTCCCTTATCAAGGGAGCACAACATTGCACAACACCAAATCCAGTATTGCCTGTTCCCTTGTGGGCTTCACCACGAGCTGGTCCAAAAAGCCATCTCGTAGACATTCCACAAGCTCCTTTTCTTGAAATACATTACCAACGTGATTTTCCCAGTCCACCTGCATATTGAAATCCCCTATTATTACTGTGACTTTGCCTTTCTTACACGCCTTTTCTATCTCCTGGTGTATCTTGCGTCCCAGCTCCTGACTACTGTTTGGAGGCCTGTACACAACCCCAACTATGGATTTTTTACCTTTGCAGTTCCTCAATTCTACCCACACAGATTCTACACCATCTGACCCTATTTCGTTTCTTCCTATTGATTTAATTTCATTTCTCACTGATAAGGCTACCCCACCTGTTTGGCCCACCTGCCTAATTTTTCGATAGGATGTATATCCTTGGTTATTCAGCTCCCAATCCTGATCCCCTTGCAGCCATGTCTCCGCGATGCCCACCACGTCATACCTGCCAGTTTTGATCTGCGCCACAAGCTCATTTACCTTATCCCTTATACTGCATGCATTTAGATATAACACCTTCAGTCCTGTATTAACCCTCCCTCTTCTGATTTTCATTTGTTTTTCAAGTGTTTGATTGCTCGCTTTTTCCAAACACTCTGTCCTATTTGTGTCTGTGCTGGAGATGTTAATAACCTCTCCTGAATTCGCCTTCCCTGTCATTTCTGTCATATTGTTCCACTTAGTTGAATCCACCACGACAGATGTTAACCTGCTGCTTTATTTCCCACTGGGGCAAGTTTCACCATTCCCTTCCCCCCCACTTTCTAGTTTAAAGTTCGGTTGACCAGCCTAATTACCCCTTTCACTAGAACATTGGTCCCAGCTTGATTCAGGTGGAGACCATCCCACCGGTACAGATCCCTCCTGTTCCAATACTGATGCCAGTGCCCCATGAAAAGGAACCCTTCTTTCCCACACCACTCTTATAACCACGTGTTTAACTCCTTTATTCTCATGTCTCTATGCCAATTAGCACATGGCTCAGGCAGTAATCCGGAGATTATAACCCTTGAGAACCTGTTCTTTAATTTGGTTCCTCACTCCTGATAATCTCTGAACAGGTCCTCTTTCCTAGTCTTGCCTATGTTGTTTGTTCTGGCATGGACCACAACAACTGGATCCTCCCCCTCCCGCTCCAATATCCTTTCCAGCCAGTCAGAGATATCCCTTACCCTGACACTGGGCAGTCAACACTCTATGCGGGACTCTCGATCCTGCTTACAAAGGATACTATCTATCCCCCTAATTATAGAATCCCCTAAAACTATCACCTGTCTTTTTGCTCCCCCCTCTTGAATGGACTCCCGTACCACGGTGCAGTGGTCAGTTGGCTCATCCTCTGTGCAGCCCTTTTCCTCATCTACACAGGGAGCAAGTACTTTGTATGTTAAATATCCCTTCAAAGGCTGTACTAGTAAATAAAGTTCACCAAAGCTGCATTTTGCAGATGAAAATATGTGTGCAAGTTAGAGTTGGAACTACAACACTAAAGACGCAATCTTGCTCTCATGTTTGCTCCTTGTAAGGTGTGTCTGATACAGAATTATTGAATCCTACTGCAGAGAATGGGTCTTTGGCCCATTGTGCCTGGACCCTTTTACATTTGTTTTAAAAATGTGATAAATGCTTCAATTTCTCTATTAGAAGGTAAAAATGTATCAATGAGCAGATATAATTTTACTAATTTAGTTACTATAAGGTTTTGGAGTAGATCTGTAGCGGGTTGTGGGTGTTGAGGTTGGTTGGCTCGCCGAGCTGTTTTGTTGTTCTGCAGACATTTCATTACCGTGCTTGGTAACATCCTCAATGCAGCCTCTGATGAAGCGTCGGTGTGTTATCCCGCCTGGTTTTTAAACTCTGGAGTCCGTTGCGATGGATTGCCTCACTTCCGGGTCTCCTCCGTAGTGGAATGTATATGGGGTCGAGTTCAGTGTGTTTATTAATAGCCTGCTTCGTGGAGTGCCATGCTTCCAGGAATTCTCGTGCTTGTCTCTGCCTAGCCTGTCCCAGGATCTTGGTGTTGTCCCAGTCTGGGACTAGCACGAAACGTCTGCGGAACAACAAAACAGCTCGGCGAGCCAACCAACCTAATTTAGTTAATTATAAAAACTACATCTTTAGCAAGGATTCACCTATATTTAAAAAAACACTTTATTTTATAAATCTCCACCCAGTTACTCATTGAGAAATCAAAAGCTGTCCAACTGTATTTTTTAAACATCTGCAAAGGTGGTGTTTATTAAAGTTGTTAATGCTGAACAATAATACATTAAGATATTTGCTTCAAAGCCACATCAGAATGAAATTAGGTGTATTGCCCTATGGGGTACATAGTGTTCAGTCCATACTCCTTTCAGTATGTTGATTCCCATTACAAATGTGACAGTAATGAATTCATTCTATTATTTTAGCTCTAGAGACCAGAATTTCCTCAGACTTGCTCTCATTCTGCCTCTGTTTCTTCATTCCAAACTCCATCTACGTGTTTACTCACAGTCTGTGCTACACTTCCAAAAATGTCATGGAGGTAGTGAAGAAGGAAGGAAATTCCAAGACTGTACTTAGCTTGTGACTGACTAATCTTATAATGATGTTTTCTGACTTTTCTAAGTCTTTTCTCAACTGATGTTGTCATAAGCATATTATCTAGCAGGGACCACTGACTGGTGGTCAGGAATTGGTATCCTTTCTTAGCTTTCTATTCCTTAGTCCCAGGGCAGAAACCAATTGAAACAACTCACCTTGCACTTCTATTATAAAAAGATTTACACTTATACAGCATCTTTCATTATCTCAGGACATCACAAAAATGTTCATAACCAATGAAGTACTTCCAAAATGTAGAAGGGAATATAGCAACCACACTAATTTGTATATACAAAAGTTCAGCAAAAATCAACAAACCAAATAATCTACCTTAGTGATAATGAGTGAGGACACATATTAACCAGGACAGCTTGGAAATTTTTCTCTGCTCATTTCAGGAATACTGCCTTTATGATCCATAATGTCCATTTAAGAGGGCAGATGAGTCTTCAGTTTAATGTTTCATCTGAAAGGTTCCCTCTCCCTTATTGTTAAACCAGGAAACAAACATGGATTTTGTGCCCAAGTCTCTGCAGTGGGCTTGAACTCATAATCTTCTCTCAGGTGAGGTTGTTGCTACTTGGCCATACTGACATTTTGGCAATAGTTAACTTAGCCCTGATCAATATGTCTTCTCTGGTTTACATGGCTCAACTCCACACTGAATAGATTCTTAGCCAAGATAATAATTAGACACAAGTGTAAAACGATAAGAATGTTCCTTTTGTAAATCCAAAGTCCTCCAATATCTCAAGAGATTTGAAGGGATAGCATTGTAGTTTGTGTACGGCCATTAGTCTTGGCGGCTGTAAGGATTAGTTAAAGGATTGGTAAATTTAGCATATCCATATCCCTAATTAAAATAAATTAGTTACAAAAGAATTGAGATTAAAGGGTATTATTGCCTTAGCATGGAGCTTTGGTAGTTCCTGTGGTGGTTCCTCAGTTCCTGAGCCAGCTGATTGCAGCTCACTTTGAAAATAACACTAGCACACTGCCAATTCTTTCCATAGGAAATGCACAAACTTTCAGTGTAACTTTAGTTTCATTTTTATTCAATTTGTCGTTACAAATACATTGATAGCACAGTGTGTGTTAGGTGGCAAAATGATGTCATATTAAGGAGTTGTTTTTAAACATATTATTTTGTAAAGAACTTTGTCACAGCAATTGTCCTTTAATTACATCTTTATTGTCAAAATAATAATATTGCTTTTAAACTTCATATATTAAGTTGAGCAAAGAGAACTGCCTGTGTCTCTCAGTGATGAAGCTGATTTTACACCTAAAAATTGCAGAAACAATTTTGGTAGTACTTGCACTGACAAATACCAACCTAGGTATTTCACATTGTTATGATTTATTAACTTTTTAATCCATAAGTGGCACTGTAGTATGACTTCTTATTTTGTTGTTTAACTCAAACACTTTTATCATTTGTATTAGGCTTTTTATCAATCTTAATCTTTTGAGTGCATTTGGGATCACCCTTCCTAAAGCAGGACTGCTAACAGACTGAAGGTACTGGCACCTTAGCAAATGGGCTTTGAGGAGTCAAATCTTCTGACATCCAGCCAGCTCATACATTGTTTCTTTTTTCAAAAATTTAAAAATAAAAGTTAGTATTTTACAGCATTCAGAATCATTTTGACATTTTGCAAAATCGTGATGCAGCAGCAGAAAAGGTGCCAGATGAAATATGACGCTGTATCTGTTTTTGTTGTTTTGTTGCTGTTGGGGAATTGAAGGTGATTTTAGCCGTCTCTGAGTTGTCATACTGATGCTGATGGGGGAGATACCTGGACGGCATTACCTTTAATACTCGGCGCTCCCAGTCAGTCGGACATGTTGCCTGGGCAACGGCCATGGCAACTGGCTCAGAGCCTGGGGGCTGTCTGCTGCCTCTCTCTCTCTCTCTCTCCTCCAAACACAACACACACGCATTTTACATCAGTTCGTCGCTGGATGATGTGGGAGCCGCTGGAGAATAAAGAGCTCGTACTTTAGAGTGAGGCAGCGCCAGAGCGAAACTCCGTGTGCCGGGCAGAGAAGGGGAGGGAGGGAGGGGTGTGTGTGTGTTGGGGGAGAGGGATTGCCCAGCTTTGGCCCGAGAACGGCATACGAGCGATGGACAGCATGCAGGATGGTTCTCCGTGCGCCTCGGGCCAGTGGCTGGCCGCTCTGCTGCTCAGTCTCTGCTGCTTGTTGCCCACTTGCCTCCCGGCAGCTCAGAGCGTGGATTTCCCTTGGCCAGCTGTAGACAACATCATGGTGCGGCAGGGAGACACGGCCATCCTCAGGTAGGGGCTGCAACAGCAACCTGGGCACTGGAGAAAACAATCTTATTTACGCACTTTGATAGCTTTGTTTTGTCTCTCTCTCGGGTGGCGCGGGGTGGGGCGCAGGGAGGTACCGTTTTGGATGTTGTTGGTGGGCGGAGGTTTAAGTTGCACATGGTTGACCAATGTTGTTGTCTTCTCTTGTTGCACCGCTGTGTGTTTTCATAGTTCCTGCAGGATGTAGTTTTGAGGAAAATAAAATGTACAAAAAACAAACAGCAGGAGCGGCTGCGAACCGTCCATTCCACTGCATTGCGCGACACTTTTTTTTACATCCCAGCTCAGTGTTACACCCCCCAACTCAGACTATCGTTATTTAACGAGCGTCCGTGGCACTTGTGACTTGCGGACCGTTTGTGCCAGCCACTTGAATGAAAATGGAAAGAGAAAATACTGTCACTGATGCAATAAATTAAACTTGCAGAAAAATTCTAACAGTAAGAAGCATGAATAGTTAACCCAGCTGTAAGAGTTGCATTTGATTCTAGTCACTTCATTTTGCCACACCCTTTATTTTGCAGCCCACCTGCAGAAAAAATAAATGAAAACAGATTGTCATTATCATTTTGACAGACATTGCCCGTCACTGTTTCCAAGCAGAGAAGTGAAATTACCTTTTATTTTCGTATCACTATTTGATGCATTACTGATAACTTCAGAAGTACATGCTGTGCTGTAGTTAAGCGCCCACGCAAGATTTGCACTCTATATTAAAGCCTGATACAACAAAGAATGGGAAGCGTTCATTTAAAATGTTCTTTTTGTATTGTTAACCTCCATAGATCTCCAATTGACAATGCACTAAAGTCTAAGTGAAAGACAATACAAGATGCCTTCAAATCATTTGACACACCTTTAGACTGTTTAGAAGTTTCACATCATACTTTATCCAAATAATCAAAACATCATGAGACTGAAGATCTTCAATTGGAAAGCATATTTCAAAATTATCAACAGTCGGATAGTTAACAACAGGAGATGTAAAACTGGAAGACAGAGTACATATCCTAATCATTTGCATTTCCTAACAAACAGTGGTTGAATTTTAGTAGCTCTGAGTTGGGTTACTAGATTGGGCACTTAGTAATGAAATCCACAGGCAAAGAATAAGTGGTGAGATCAGTTCAGCTCTGGAATAGTGCACCTCCTTTTGGCCAATCACAGAGTGGCATTGACATCTTCCTATGGCTTGATTATCTCACCTTTTCAAAGGAAAGAGGTGAGGGAGGGGGAGCGCAGCAATGTTGGGAAAGCACAGGAGGGGGATTTCCGCTCAATCTCTTACATGAGCTGCATTTTAAAATATGTTGAACACAATAACTATGATATAATAGATATTTTATGATGTAAAATTAATGTGAAACACAGCCTTCTCTGTCATGCCAGAAATTTGACTGCATTCAGTTTTGATTTTCTTTCCCTCATGACTGTTTTATTGAATGTGATATTATTGGATCATTCTCTTAGTCACTTACTTTCAATTTTATTCCTTGTTATTGGCTAGCCATGTATAATAATATTTCATATTTCTAGGTGGAGCTCACTAACTAGCAAGAATATACTTAAGGAAATTAACCTTAAAGAATAATATTCTGGTACTCCAACTGCATTCTGTAAGCAGAATTACAATGTGTAAGGTGAATATGAGTTTCAACATTTGGATTTTAAGCATCTAAACATTATTTATTGTGTTTAATTTTGCATACTTCTTTCACATAAAAAATGATCTAGACTTTGTCACAGGTGTTCATAAAAAGTTGATGCTGACACAGTCGTATTTATTTATTCTTGACGTGAATCTCATTAGCAAGCTCAGCATTTATTATCCATTCTTCATTATTCTTGAAAAGGTGATATAAGTTGCCTTCTTGAACCATAGAAATCAAAAAGGTGCAGTGTTCCCAGGGAGGCAGTTGCTGGAATTTGACCCAGCAACAGTGAAGAAATAGCAATGTATTTCCAAGTAAGGATGATGTGCGGCTCAGAGGGGAACCTGCAGGTGGTGTTGTTTCTGTATGCTGTTGTCTTTGTTCTTCGAGATGATTGAAGTTGCAATTGGAAGGTGCTACTGCTGAAGGTGCCTTGTGAGTTGCTGCAGTGCACCTTCAAGATAGTACAGAATGCTTCACTGTGCACTTGTGGTGGAGCGAGTGAACGTTTAAGATGGTGGAAGCCAATCAAGCAACCTGTAGTTTTCTTAGATGATGTTGAATTACTTGTAAGTTGTCGGAGCTGTACTCATTCAGGTAAGTGGAGAATATGCCAGGATACCCCTGACTTGTGATTTGTACTTCATTGGCAGATTTCTGCATATCAGGAAGGTTCCTAACCTCTGACTTGCTTTTGAGCCACGGTATTGAAATGGCTAGTCCAGTTAACTTTTTAACTTTAACTATCACAATGTTGATGGTTGAGGATTCAATGATGGTATTACAATTGATTGTCATCGGGAAATAGTTAGATCCTCCCCTTTTAAGGGATGGGCATTGTCTGGAATTTGTATGATATGGAAATGTTGGTGTTGGACTGGGGTGAACAAGGTCAAAAGTTACATGATACCAGGTTATAGTCCAATAGGTTTATTTGAAAAGGCAAGCTTTCGGAGCTCAGCTTGCATTTTCAAATAAACCTGTTGGACTATAACCTGGTGTTGTGTGATTTTTGACATGAAATTTGTTTTGTGTAAATGTAACTTGCCATCAGCCCAACGCAGATAATGTCCAGATCTTCCTGCATACGGATACAAACTGCTTCAGTATCTGGGGAGTCACAAATGGTGCTGAACAGTATGTAATCACCAACTATTGTTCCCATTTCTGACTGATTTGTTTGAGGGCAGGCCTTTGGAGAAAGAACTGAAAATGGTTCAGTTGAGGTCAAGACCCTGAGAAATTCTTACAATGATGTCCTGGTGCTGAAATCATTGTGCTCCAACAACCACAAACATATTCCTTTGTGCTAGGTATAACAATTCTCCCCCAGTTCCCATTCATTGCAATTTCTTGAGAGTTCCTTGATTCTGCATCCAGTCAAATGCTCTTTTGATGTCACTATTGTAGTCAGTCTTGCCTCACTTCTGAAATTCAACTCTTTTGTCCATAATTAGGCTAAGTGCGTAAAACATTCTAGAGCTGAGTTTCCATGGCAGAACCAATAGAGTATTGGTGAACAGGTTGTTGCTGAGTAAGCTACATGGTCAGAATGAGGGAGACTTCACTGGAGCAAGACTGAGACAGAGTGAGTAGCTGGGAGTTTGGGTCAAAGTGGAAATTCAGGGCAGTGGGGGAAGAGAGGTACTCTAATTAGGTCTTAATCCAAGAACTAAAGTCTCCAATGTGAGAGGTGAACAGGAGATGAAATAGGGCGTAGATTAAGAGGCCTACCTGTACAGAGTCCTGTGGCAGTATGACATTACGATTGCAGGGAATATGGTTGATAGGTGAGTAGGTTTGGTCAGTATTTCCAACCTTTAAAGTGAAAATTTAGTACTTAGTTTCTGTTTAAGCTTTTTTTTCCCTCTCTTATTTCTGAGTTTTCAAACTGAGACCATACTTATTCTAAGGTTAACAAATAATTCTTATGGAACAATAATGTTCTAATATTCAAACAATAATTAAATATTCTTATGGAATGGCAGGTCAGAAAGGCCAAGTGGAATGTATATCCTGTGGTATGTGTGAAGTCATAGATACACCATGTGTCCCAGACAAACACATTTACAGATAGCTACATATCTGTATAATGGCTGCACAAACTTGAGCTCTGGGTTTCAGAACTTGAGCAGTGGCTGGAGTCTCTGTTTTATATCTGCAAGGCAGAAGGCTATGTGGATAACCTGCATAGGGAGGTGGTCACACCACAGGTTAGAAGTGTACAAGCAGAGAAGGAATGGGCGAGAACCAGGCAGGTAATGCAGGAGTTCCCTGAATCTATTGTGCTTGCTAGGCAGTATTCCGTTTTTGGAAGATACCGAGGGCAATGGTTCCTCCAGGCAATGCAGCCAGAACCAATCCCAAGGCACCATAGGTAGCTTGGCTGTGCAGAGGATGAGCAAAAGCAATGGAAGAGCAGTAGTTAAAGGGGATTTCATGGTTAGGATGTCAGACATCTATGTGGGAGTAAATGTGATGCCAGGAGATGTGTTGCTTTTGTGAAGTGGATTCCTGGGCAATTTAACACATTGTCAACTGGTTGATACCGTTGCTAAAAGTTCACTTCCATCAGTGTCTCCTCTTAGGGACTTTGAAAGAGTAGCCACCTCTGGTGATCACTTCCAGTTGCACTGTTAGGGTTAGGGAATTACTGGAACAAGAGAGAGGCCAGCCATTCGATGGCAGCTCTAGGAGATAAGACTTGGATAAGGAGGAAGGTAGGAAACTGGTTGAGACAACAACTCAGGGAAAATCTATCTGCAGCCTTTACATTTAGATAGTGATTTTGGATTTGCATTCCAGTTTGAGGGATTCTGAGATGACCGGTAAGTCCGATGCATGACTTACCAACTCCTTTCAGAGAATGTTCATTTGGTGAAGGTGGAAGGGCCTTGTGGAAGGGCCTTATTGATGGGTTGTTGGGAAGTTTGTGCACTCTCTCCAACACCTCGACTTTGGCTCAGCACGACCTTGATGAATTTTGTCAATACATTAATGTCTTCTGCAATGAACATACTCCATTTTGATTTGTCAAAAGCCAAAGGCTTCTATATATTAGAAGGATTGTTTTACCTCCTCAGGGATACTTTTCAGACTCTGCCAGTTCTGAGAAGGATCACTGGACCTGAAACGTTAACGCTGTTTTTTCCTTCACAGATGCTGCCAGACCTGCTGAACTTTTCCAGCAAATTTGTTTTTGTGCCAGGAATGGAAGGACTGACTTATAAAGAGAGGTTGAGTAGTTTGGACCTGTACTCATTGGAAATTTCAAGAATGAGAGGTGACCTTATTAAAACATAAAAGATGCTT